ATTCAGGCCGAGGTATAGCAAACTACAGCTTTGTAACGGATTTGGCTTTATTGTTTTGCACTTCATTTTTTGCTTTATGTGGTTCTAACTGTTTCAATGGTTCTATAATATGATAGCTGTTTGGTGAGAGCCCTTCACAGTAAGTACACTCTTCACTTATATATTTATTCTCCATCTATATACCTTACGCTGTCGCAATCTTAAATTGCTCATTATTCGTCACTATCATTTCAGAGAAATGAGCAAAAATGCTCTGAAAAACAAGAAGAAAAGGGAAAAACTGAAGGAGAAAAAAGCCGCTGGTTCGTGATTAAATGTCGTATTGCTGAAATGCCTCATGATAAAATGTAGCTTTGGACTTGAGAGGAAGCTGCAGCTAACCTGTATCACGATGTTCATTCAATATTCGTTCTTAATGATTTTGCCGGAAAATTTTGAGATGATTTTTGCTTATATAAGCCTGTGATTGTGTATCTGGAGAAAGCTGTATGTTGAGACATGTAACATTTTCGTTAATATTATATGCTATATTATGGAAGTTATATACATTGTGGGATGGATGAATCTTAGTCTTATATGTCTTAGAAAATAACAATGTTTTAATAACCAACCCGCGGTGAAACCGGCAAAGTGGTTGGGTCTTGAGTTGAATTGGTTTGATAGGTGAGTTAAACTGGTGTCCAAAAGTTTGAAATTTGACAAAAATACCCTTGAAAATATTGTAAGTCCTTATAGGTTTGAAATTTGACAAAAATACCCTTGAAAATATTGTAAGTTCTTATAGGTTTGAAATCTTATAAAAACACCTCAAATATCATCTCTAATGTCAACAACTCAGGCAAAATAGGGTTTGTTTTTGGCGATGACAATACTCTTCATCACCACGAAAATACTCCTCTCAACCTCTTGATCAAAACCCATCTCACCTCTCTCCTGTTAGCTTCGTTAATCATCGACAACAAGCCATTGTTTTAGTTGATTGATTTTTGCCTTTTCTGATCGATTCACTCATCGGAAATCACTTCCTCCACCACCTTTGGACTCACCGACACTCCCTCTCCACAAGCCTCAATATAATTGTTGTTGTATACTTGCCGATTGTCGTCCATAATTCTAGGGTTTATGGTGAATAGTTAAAAGTGATAATACGTTCGACGAAAGCCCCAAGTCCCGGTTGAACTAGCCAGGCCAAACCGGGTATCAAAACATTGGAAAATAGTCTCAAAATAATAAGTGGTTGATTTCATTTTTCTCTACTTGGTCAAATTTTGCTTTATATATATATATATATATATAGAGAGAGAGAGAGAGAGAGAGAGAGAGAGAGAGAGAGGAGTGCTTTAGAGACCATTAACAACACCTAGTAGTGCGCCATTCGTCAGTCCTGCGATCTACCAATTAGGAAACAGCATGTGTATGCAGCAGGATCCACTGATGAGATGAAGTCGATATTTCATACATGGAAGTAACTAAAGAAAGAAAATGATTTCCAGCCTTTATTAAAAGCTTACCCAGTATGTAACTATAAACTACATTTTTCCAGGTGGGAATCTACAGAACCACATAGTATTCATCAAAGTAAATCTCAAGTTGTTCATTTGGCTTCATGTGACCGTGCAGATAATTTATCACAGTAGAAAATAACAAAACACATGTTCTGCTTTTTCAAAGCGATAAATAGGCGATCAAGTCTGGAAAGAAACATCTTCGAAAGGTATTGAATCATAGAATATGACCAAGTTAGCAGATTCACTTAGGAGAGTATCTTCCACAGGAATAAAACAAAGAAAAAGATGAACTAAACAGCTTTTAATGGATTTAATTTTCTTGTCGCTCAAAATTTCTTGTCAGTCGTCCATGTACCTTGAACACTTGGATGCTTGGTTACATGTCTTGTCTTCAGTTTTATCACTTTTCTTCCCAATGCATTCCTTAGCCTGGTTGCTTGCAGAAGTATCTCTTCCGGAGTCAAATTCTTTACACATACCACCCGCTGGTTATGGTTCCCTGAAAATGTAGCAATAGAAACATTCATGAAACTGGGAACAAACAGTTTTCGAGAGATAAAACGCACAAGCACTTGTGAGCACAGTTAAACACCTGCAGGGGAGAGTGGGGAAAAGGGAGATAGAAGACTTACTGTAAATGGCCTTCAAATGTGGATGCTGTCCGCGAATATGTTCAGTAACCACCTCGAGCTGAGGGTTGCTCTCTTTAAATGCAGGCAACTTTGACTCCATAAATGCCCTGCCATTAATAAGAAATAAACATTCAAGTCACGGTGCTGACATAACACAGATTAGCTCAGCCCTGCAGCATGGGAAAGAACATAAGGACACTCAAGAGGGGATATTTCACACTACATTCAATTCATGGCCAAACGGATATTAGTAATAAAAAATGCTTCAATTAGGTGCCAGTCCAACAACCGATAGTCCAGAAAATTAGTAATGCTGCCAAAAGTGAGGGGTCTGTAGTGAATCAACTTAAGAGTACATGACAATGTGTAAAGGATATGACATGCTAAATACAGATCTTGCTTTATCAATTATTGTCACGATGTAAGTTTCTTTGAAGGTGAAACAAAACATGCAACCAAGAGACCACCAAAACAATACAAGACCCTCAATTTAGAGTTTGCTTTCATCTTAGTGTTACCAAAACTTTTTCTATTCTCATTTATACATCAAATACAAATCACACACATACTTCACCAGTAACTTTATTCTCATTCCCAACTGACGTAAACCTACAAGCTAACAACGAAAATCCACAATAATTTCTTGCATAGCAAATTGTTTCCTTCATTATTGTGATAGCGTGTAACACTTGCAAAATTATTGGTTTCAGTTTGGATACTACATACATACAAATGTGACTTTATATAGCAAACCAATCTCACAGTGAATGAAATAAAGATTGCAACAAAACCGTCTTACAGCTTTTTTACTAAAGATTGATGAGGTTGAACAATCTTAGATATTCATTCTACAAGAAGATGCAATAAGAGAAACTTTTTAGTTGAAACAAAAAGAAAATTGAAAAACCAACATGAGCTTAAATGGACAAGCGAATGCTTCCATTCATAAAGTACAACAACTTATAATCTTCGTTTTCACTTCTTTCACAAATAAGTATCACCGATAAATCATCGGCCTAAGAATAAATAGTTTGAGCTTCATATCATACCTGATGCCCCTGCTACTTCCTCCCCAATCACTATAGCTCACAATCAGCTTTTGAAGCTGCCACACACCTCTCAGGGCCATCTGCGCCACAAAAATAACGCGTTGATGAAAAATTTCGATAAAAGAGAATGAAAAAAATGAAGAAATTATTCATTAAACTAATAAAAACTATTTGAAGATGAACATGAACTAAATTCCTTGGATTTGACCTAAATAAAAATTAAAAGAACTTCTAAGTTTCTTGCAATGTTTTTTAACTAGAATTTGTCTCTAAGCAACCAAATAAACAACTAGGGCAAGCTCAAATTTCATACGAATTGAAATTACAATCAATGAAAAGTAATCATCAAAAAACAAGCAAGTGGGTTAAATCGAAACAATCAAAGGAAACGAAAACAAGAATAAACGCAACAAATTATCACAGAAAAAAAAAAAATCATGAAAATGCTTTCTAAAGAGGAAGCAAAAGCAACTAAACAAGAAGAATGAAAAGAGAAAACTTTTGGTTCTTCGTAAACTTGCTGTTGTGAATTGAAAAAAAAAAAAACCCAGAAAGAGAACGGAATTGCAGAGAAGAAGAGAGAAGCTTACGGAGAAGAACTGACCGGAAAGCCGCTAGATTTTGCTCGCGTTGAAGAATGAAGCTGAATGGCTGCAGTGGTGAAGATACAGAGTTACGGGGTTTTGGGTTTTTGGAAATTGAGGGTCAAAAAGGTAATTTGGCTGTTTATTTAATGGGCTTGTTTGGTTCATACTCTATAAGATTTATTTTTGAAGGTAAATTTTCTAAAATAATATAAGATAGTTTTGATATTTAAAAATTATTAAAAAAAAAAAAATTAGAGCTTATTAGAAAAGCCTGAAATTTTAGTTTTGTTTTTTAGATGTGAAATATTTTTAATAATTCATAAGTTTTTGATTGACGACAATGATATTGAAAATATTCAAAAGAATGTTTAACATTAAAATAATTCATAGATAATTTAGTTATGTTTTTTAATGATATTTGTTGTTGCTTGATTTTGACACCAGCGCATGTGCAAAGCGTTAAACGAACTTAGAAATCATATGTGATAAGAAAGCATGAAATGATACAATGAATAAGAAGCGATATTTAAAGTGGTTCGGATGCTCAAAAGCGAATCCTACGTCTATTGTTATTGTATTATTAGATGGTTAAAATCAAGTCGCGTGCAACGAACTAGGTTATAATCTAGAGAAAATACAAAGAGAGAGAGAATTTGCAAGCTATTTTAGACTAAGATTAGCCAATCTCGCAAATGAGAGGGGTGTCCTCTATTCATAGTAGGAGAGTTCAAGGTAATGATTACAAGTTTGCAAGAGGGTAGGTGCCGTGTAAATCTTTATTTGCGTTTCATTGGTGGTCTGCACGAGAAATATCCTCAAATTACGCAGGGCTTGGGCAGGTGGCTAATTTCTAACCACTCATAAGCCCGACACCCACCTACTACACTAACAAGAACCATACCCTTTGCATCACTGTGCGACGTGGTAGCGCCTGGACGTTATAAAACCTTCCTAAACTCTGATTGGCTCTGGTTGACGAGAGTCCACATCAATCCTAACTTTTCAGGCATAACAATATTATTAGGTCGATATAATTATGAATAATCATATTTTGATTAACGAGAAGAGGTATTCTTGCATATTTGATTTTTGTAGTGTACAATTATAATATGATAAATTTTGATGGCATTTCAGAATAACCCAGAAAATAATTTCCGGATGACAATGCATAAGCTAATTAAGACAGGAAATGATGCATCACATTATCATCAGGCATTAACATGCCCATGAGAGCTACGAATTCATAGACAAAGGCTGTGTAATTAACAACCTAAATATTTATTACCTTCTTTTAGCCTGGTTTGTATGGATTTGTTTTTGAGTTTTATACAAGTAATTTTGGCTTAAAATATGTCTACTTAATTGAGCGATTCAAGATTTATAAATTGATCCGGACTCTTATTTGCTAGTGTGCTAGCCGTACCTTTGTGGTATCTAAGCACAATCAATCAATCATGAGACACATGTATATTATGTGTGTACCCTATAGTTGGTTGATTATACATATATGGAGGTGTGATGGACTGATGATAGTTTCCGTGAATCTGAGGCAGTTGAACAATGGTGGTTTGAGCTCTGATACTCTTGAGAGGTGTTATATCTGTTGAGACTTGAGACATCCCATATCGCTTCGGAGGAAGGGCTTGAGCTGGTTAAATAGAAGGGGAATCCTCTAATAGTTAAGACACGTTTTGGGTTTGAGCAAGAGTTCTTGAGGTTTAAAAATAAAACCGTGAGGGATTGAACTTTAGAATGGAATCATCCAG